CAGTTGATTTCTTAGAAAGTTTAGGGATGAAACTTGGGAGCAAAAAGTGCCATAGAAGAAATCAGGAAACACACAGAATGAATGGTGTTGTGGGGTTTTTCTTTTTGAGCTTGAAAGTGGTTTTTTTTTTTTTAATGCAAGTGTCTTCTAAAATTTATTAATCCCCCCCACATAAGCACAGAGAAGCTCAAGACTCTATCTCAAAAATATATAGTAGGATGACAAGTAGATACATTTGACAGAATGTCAACAACAGAATGCCTCAACTGAAATGTAGCTTTGCCAACTTCTGTATGAATATCTCATACAGTAGAACTGGGGTTTCAGATAGGAATTTGCAGTTGGCTGCAAACTACTTATGAAATTTAGGGAATGGAAAGTTTTCCCTTAAATTTACTGGCATGTCCCAAATCGTGATTTCAACATGATAACAGTTTTACTAGCTGTTTTAGTATATAATTAATCCTAGACACACATCAGTGGGCAAAATCAAAATGTAAACCTGAAGTTTTTCTGTAGGCATTCCTAAGACAAGAGGACATTTGTTGTCATTTCAGAAAACTGTAATGGAAAGAATTTTGAACAACTGTATTCAAAAAATTCACCTGTCAATCACAAGCATGTTGAGACTTGTGAGCTATTTGGCATCTGCCTTTGCTTCTGTCTTTTATTAGAGTTCCTTCACGCTGTGGCTATTCCAACTTAAAAGAAACTTTCAATGTGGGAATTTGAGTAACACATTGTCCTTATACAAATTTGTTGCAATACCTTATCTTGAAGTCTTCCTTACTGAGATCTCCATTTGTTTCAGGCAGTCTGATGGATTTTTTTCTGACGCCTGATGATTTTCTGTGCTAAAATTAGTTCTGAGCTTCATATGGTAGGGGTATTAGAAGTTATCACCTACATAAGAAAATAAACAGACTCCTTTTAACAAGACTTCAGGCCAGTTCCTGGCTCTTGGAGAAAATAAGAGGTGCAGACCACTAACTGCTTGATACAGATACCAAGGATACACCTCAGAAGGAAATTTATGTTTAATTAGCCTACTAAGCAGAAAGTGCAATTTTTAAAATTTTTTCCCTTCATTGCTTTTACAACACAAATATTTGAGCTCAGTATTGGGCTCATGAGATTTTACCTCTTCTGGATTTTAAAAAAGAATACAGAACAGAATAGAATCCCATTCTTGAAGACAGCTGTAAATCTAAATGAACAAACAATGTATAGTTGAAATAGCCATGTGAGTGAAATGATCTTTAATTTGGGGGAGAGCTTATATAAAGATTAATTTAAAGAATGTTTGGATAGCAAAGAACTGTAAAACAAACCCCAAATCATTATTCAGTGCTTTCTTTTTATCTGCCTGTGCTCATTAAGACTTCCAATTACCATCTTTTGGGGATACTGCATCTGATGGATGCTTAGAATAGTTAACCATTAAAAGTACACAAAAGTAAGTGGCAATCGGGGTTCTATTTTAAGTATATAGGGAGTAAAGCACACGGGTTTATTTAAAGACAAATGTAATGAGTTCAATAGACTTGTTCCAGCCAGCCTCCAGTATGGCCAGATGTTAGCACATACTTTTGTGTACTTTTTGAGCCTGCTGCAGTTTTGTGTCCAAGTGCTCAATTTGCTCAGAAATCCAATAGCAGTTCCCAAAAAAGAAAACAACTGCATTGTTTCCCCTAGTGTTTTAGTGCCCGAGAAGCACAAGAGCATATGAATTTTCATGCGTGGCTCACTTTAATCTGTGGTTTCACTGCTACAGAATAGTAACCCACTATTTCCATGACATTTGCAGCGTTCAGCGTGACACACATGTACAACAGAGTTCATGCTTCATTCAGCAAAGTACTTGAACATGCTTTACCTTAGTGATTTAGGATATGGTTAACTCTAAACATGTGATTTAAATCCTTTCCTAAACTGAAGCCCTTGTTAAGGAATTCAGACTGCAAAAATAAAGATGCCCAGGACTTTGAAGTTATTTAAGAGGCTGAAATAATATTGGTATATATCAGTATACACTGGTAAGCTAACTTTAGTGAACGAACTGTAATCTTTCAAACTATGTATTGTTATTGTTAATTTCAGTTTAGATGACAAAGATGTGGGGAAAAGGGTGGAACCAATCTGAAGTTTTATCAACAAGCTGGCACAGAGCAAAATAGGCTATATTTTAAAATTCAGATTAAAATACTCTAACTTGATACATAAAGTAATCTTTCACAAACTCTCAACATGAATGCAAGATAAACATTTGAGCATTCATAGAATTGGATTATTTGTTTCTGTGAGCATAGGCTACAGCTCCATCTTAAAAGAAGACACAGTTTGGAAAGTGTTAGGTAGATGCACAAGATGTTCTCTTGTGTTTCTAGTATCAGTTCAGTGCAGAGATAGAAGTAAGCAAGTGGAAAGTTTAGCAACAATTTCTGCTATGGAATGTCATTTTATTTTCAATATATCATTTTACTTTTCTAATGAGATAGAGAGTCCAATTTATTCTTTTTAGGACACTGGTATGTACTTCAACTTCTGTTCAGAGTACAACAAACATCCAAGAGAAAAACATTTACATATAAATACATGACTATGTAATGATTTACTTTTCAGTCCTGGGGGGGGGGGGAAGCCACAACTGTGAATGCTGTCAGCAACATCTGTTTTGAAAGTGATCTTTAGACCCAGATTGTGATACTTATTATCAGAATTTAAAGAATAGAATTATGCATACACACATACATCCTCTTGGATTGTTTAGGAAGTATTTTCACCCGCTTCCTTTACCACCTCATTTCCTTGAATATGCAGTCAACAAAGTTTGAAAATAAACAATTATTAGTTCCATAGCCTTCTTCAAACTATCTTGTTCTCTGCAGTCAGCTTATAAACAGTTTGTAGTGTGTCACAATTAGTCCTAGACGAAACAGCTGATGAGGTACATAGCACATCCATTTAACACACTAATGCAGTAGAAAAACATCAGTTTCCTCTAAGGAATTTTCTGCTGGATCATTGGATTTAAGCATCTCCTGAAAAAGTTCGACTTATACCAGTAGCAGCACTGGAGAGATAGTGAGATGCATACTTAACAATAAGATGAAGAAAAGGAGATGCGAGATCTCGTTTTTGCAGTAGCAAAATCCAGTTACTTTGTCTGCTCAAGGACCCATATCCTAATTAAATCTGGAAAAGGAGCTAGTCTGAAATGTAGGTTATATATCCTATTTATATTTTCTGTTATGAGAGCTATTGGATGTGATACAATTTTGTGGCACATTCTGAGAAAAAGGAAAGTAAATTAAAAAGAACTGCTTGCTCCAATAAAATACAAATTTAAATCAGACTTTTGACTGTTGCATATTATATTTTTATGGTGCAATTTATATATACTACATTATGTGAATGTTTTGAATTCAGCAATAAATTGTAATACTGGTAACGCTGGAAATATAGGCAAGTGATTCTGGGAGCATAATGGGGTGTTACCCTATTCTGTACTTGGCCTCTGTGTGCCTGTTTGTCTTTGGTGTAACCTCACCCACATTGCACTATGTGGAAGTTTGAAGCCTTTTTAACAGCACATAGGGGAATCCAGATCTTGACTGCTAAAAGTAATTGACTCCAGGCTGATTCTTTCTTTTAAAAAGAGGATTTTAGCTCTGAAGTGAATCGTGTTGGTCTGTTTCTTTGTGCCACACACTATGTTAATTGCACCTGGTTGTGTACACAAAGTAAGCAAAGTTGCGTATCTGTGAGACAGCCCAAGAGGACAGCCTTTGGGTGGGGACCTCACTGTTACAGCCCAGTGTCACAGGGAACTGCCATTTCAGATTTTCTTATATGGACAGGACACTTAAACTGCTACAGAAGCCATTTGAGGTACCATGAAAAACAGGTCTGCTTATACAGTAAGTACAAATGCATTATACCTTTTGAAATGGGCCTCTACAGAAAGTTGCTACTAAAAGCTGAAGTACAGGCAATTATTTCTGGTAAAGCCGATTTTTGTTGTTGATGATTTAATGGGGAAAAAAAAATTCTTTTTTCCAATATAGGACAGTTTTCTTAAACATTTACTTTATGTACACTTTTAAAGTATAATTGAGAAAAAAAGAGCAAACGGTAAAAAATAAAATCTATCATGTTAGGCTTGTTCAGTAACCTATTTGGTTCAGTAAACCTTGACTATACCTTAACAAGAAAACAGAATATCACAACACTAGATGTTTACAGAGTTGGCATGTCTACAGAATAAGTTTCTTGTTAGCAATGTCAAGTGAAGATTGGTTTCTGTCCAGGCAGAGAGTTTCTATTCCATATTTTAAAAATAATTGTACAAGTCTTGACCTTGCTGAATTCTGCTAAATTCAAGGCCTGTGTTACTAATTTCACCTGACATCCAGACATGAGAAACACAAGTGAAACACATACATTCTCTCTGAGAAATTACAAATTGGGAAGTCCTTGTTTGTCAAATGCAAGAATTCCACCACCAATATCTTCCCTGACTGAATAATTATCAGGCTGAGGACTGGTTCAGTTGTATGCACTGATTTTTGAGGTACAAATGTCAATTTAATTTGCTAGCCAGAAACAATAATTTAGATTGCCTAGAAGCATCGGGTATTACAATTCTGAATAAGCCTGGCAGTTTGAAAAAAGTATTCATTGTTTAAACATGCTTTAGTGTGAATTTGGGTTTACTCTGCAATACTGCCTTAGGAGTTCACTGAACTTGACAGTACACTTGAATGTTTGCCATTAACTGTGAATTAATGGAACTTACATATAATCTAACAGTATATTACTGTCAAAGTACAACACATGTCTAAGCAGCAACACTGAAAGATGCATTCCAATAGCTATTTCTTCAGGGGAAAAAAGTCACTGGGGTTACAAATGACATGCTAAATTTAAATGTTTGTCTTCTAGGTGCTGTTTTAGAAGAATAGCCTCTGACCAAGAATAAAAATTGTTGTTGGAATAATATGCGAACAGGTAATTTCTTCCAAGTCTTACTTGGATGTGTATACATATATAATTACAATTCATTAAAATAGCATTGATTTTGACACCTGCCATTGGGATTGTCACACCTGCTCCACAGGGCTGTCTTCACCTACTAGTCAGCAAACTAGAGTTCACCAGTCAGTAGTACAAATCCTCTTAAGCAGATGTTTGCTTTGATCAGCCCTAATATTTCACAGTTTGTGATTGATTAGCATACAGTCCAAAGTTGCTTATGAGGGAGGAAGCATGCATCAGCCCCTTTATCTTCTGTCAACATTTTCCACTCCCCCCCCCCTTCCCTTTTTTGTTTTAGCAGACTTCAGGATTAGACAGTCTGTAGTATTTTAGCCTCTGGACTAGGCAAGGCAGCTGAGTCAACATGTGGATTATCAAGGCTGGCTTGGTTCTTTGGGGGTTAAGGTGGTGTTGAGCCTTTATTTGTTTTTCTTTTTAATAGATAGGACAGTCAGGTTACAAAAGTTTAAATGCAAGCAGACAAGATAGTTTAGGGACAGGTTTCCACGCATGTCCTCAAAAAGAATAATTGAGAACCGGTGTATTCAGAGGCTGCTATTAGCTCTGCCAGTTTTAAGTATTCACAGTCTAGCATTGGAAAGAACAATCTTGTTTCATTCCTCTTCACTTCTCCTCCCACCAAAACCCAACTTTTTTAAAAAGTAACTTCTGTGTCCTACTTCTCTTTATTTAATCTCTCACATAGGATATATATCAAAATACATAGATATATATTATGTAGAATATATGTAGATAGAGTTTCTACAGTTGTATTAATTGAAAAGCTAAATCTTTTGTATTTTTTTAATTGCCCATCATCACTTTGACTTGTTAAACTTTTCTATCTTGATTACGGTCGTCTGAATGTAGTATACATTTGACTTTCAAAGCATACAATTTGCATTTTTAGAATAATATGATATATTGACTTACCTCATGAAAAATCATAACACATTCATGGATGCTAATGTAATTGGGTTTTGGCTTGTATTGAACCCCTTCAGATTCTCCAGATTCTTCTCTTCTTTTGCATCATTGACTATAAATTCAAAGGGATAAACTGTTGCTTTCATGCTTTCCTGTCTTTAAATACAGAGCTGTAGTGAAGTGGGTATGGAGTACGTAATACATATTTTTGTATTGTAGCAAACCCCACTACTAATAGTAATTCACAATATATATTTTTTTTTAGCATTAGAGCATCCTGAATTTTCTTTTATTCTCTCTCATCATTCTGTCATCTTTATACTGTATTACCCTGGTACTTTCAATAAGTCATAGCAAAGTATTAATACACAAAATAGCATTAATGAAAAGCACAATTGGATGGAAAATGGGGCACCTGATCTACACAGACATAGAGGTTTCTTCAAATATCTCATTACTGCTAAAATTGTTACCATTTTTCCCTTAGCACTGGAAAGAAGTCTAGCTCTAGAAAGAAATAGCCTATAGAGAAATTGTCTGTAATTACAATCAAAAAGGTTTTGAAGGCTTCCTAGGCACTTTCTGTTCTCTCTCTCTCTGCACCTCTCTCGCTTTTCCCCAATAGGCCTAAGACAGAGGGCCCGAGGTATTCTGCCAGAACAGAAACATCTAGTTGGACTGCAGAGCTGGTCCTTAATACATAGATCACACCATAACAGGGAGAGAGTCATTCTCCCAAATGTTCTGAGACCTGAATGACTTGAGGCATTTAGTTTTCTTCAGTACTCTACCACTATGCCAGTGTGAGACAGGCCTATTTCTGCATAAAGATGAAGAAAATAAATAGAACCATAAGGCAGGTTTTTAAGGAGGTTAACAAGTTCTCATTAATTCTCATGAGAATTTCTTTGAAGACTTTCCACGAGCCGTCTAAAGGGATTTTTCTGTGGGGCCTTCCTCCTATCATTTCGCGTTTCCATCTGGTAGAATTTCAACAACACTTAACTCCCTCAGATGCTTAATAGAGTTGAGAGCAGGTCAAAATTGAGAGTTTTGCCTTTTCTCTCTTCTTATAATTGTACAGATATCCTGATACAATGTTCATGTATTCAATATCCTCTCTTCATTTAAAGAAGGATGTAGCCTTCAATTTAATTACACTGTCACAGAAGTTCCACTGTTTTGTTTGAAGAGACTAAAATCAAATATCCGTAGTTCTTGTTAAAAGCCTGTTTTTTTCTGTTGCCATTTTACTCCTCTTGCAATTACGCTGTTACCCACACAAAATAATTTAAGTTTTTTGATAGTGAACTTGCAGTAAATGAATTGTCAGTAGATAAGCACAAAAAGCTTCAGAGTTAAAATAAATTTCCATTTAACTTCTAACAAGGTAGGGCAGAACACACATGTCTGTTACGCCACATCCTGAGCCAATGCAACAAGGTCAAATATAAACGATCCTTCCAGCCTTACCTCTCCCCATCTCTAGCTCTCTAATTTATCTGCACACATGCAAAAAGGTCCAGTTACCATTTGGATGCTAGCACTTTGATAACATGAACACGAAACTGAATTCCTATTGAGCTCTGTGGTATAACTGCCTTCGTCTTAAAATAATATAAGGACTTTACTCACACTCCTATGTCAATATGCCATCACAGAAATGGAAGAATGTATGAAAACATGGGAGAGTGGAATTACTAGAGATGGCCCAGAGGACAGCAGGATGCGCAATGCTTTTGTTGTACAGGATTAGAAGTAGCTAAGCTTTTCTGCTACTCTTAGAAAAGTTTATTTTATATACAAAGCTGTAGAAGTTCCCTCTAGGGTAGAATGTCTTACGGTCACAACTTCCTCACTTTTTTCTGCAGGAATAAAGGGGAACCCTCAGTCTTTTTCCTGAAGGACAAATAAGAAAATTAAAATCTTGATTCCTCTTAAACAACACTATATTTTGTATAGAACATGTCTTCTGTACATAAATAGTGAGACAGCAGGATTCTTATTTTCAGAACTTCTGGGAGAAGTAACAGCAAAAACAACACCTAAAGTGTGAGGTAACACAGGATTCTCGCACTTGTGATGGCAGAAGACTGCTCTATTTTTCTTTTGATTGAGATACTGTGGTTTCCTAACGTTGAAGAAATACATAAAAATATATATGCTTATACATAAAATGAGTTGCTGACGCATTAAATGTATCATAAATATATGCAGTCCAACTTCCCAATTTAGACTGCTTTCAAAAGGACTGGAATGGTACAGTTAGCTATTCTATTTAAGCATAAAATGGACAACTGCTGCTACAAGTGCCAACATGAGTATCCTGTATTTAGGGGTTTATTAGAATGCCTAATTGTGTTTAAAACACTAACAATTCATATAAGAAGCCTACTGAGTTAGCAAAAAGCCTTTTTGAGATCCATGCAAATTACATTTTCACAGGCAGTAAGTGACACTTCATAGGCTAGCTGCTCCATTGGCTGTTAAAAATCGGTGTGGGAAAACCTGGTGGTGTCAAACTGTGCTATGATTCAGCTCTCAATACAGCTTGAAGCGGTCTCAGAATGTCCTGGTCCACACCTGAGACTCTTCCCGGTTTATCTGTACTGACTCCGATTCTCTCTCAGAAACTAGTTAAGCTAAAGATAGTATGTGCCATGGGAACAGGACAAACCAGACTTCATATAGGTCATCATGTGAATCACTGTACTCAGTACAGTTTGTGGTCATGAAAGGCAAATGAAGTAACGGAGAATTCAAAAGTTCTTCTCACTACAAGAGAAATTTTGCATTTGTTCATATAATTCAGGTGCTTTACATCTGATAGGGTGATAAATTTCTGATCTTTTTGCATATTGTTGCATGAAACAATTCTGCAAGATAGTGCTGTACATTGCTGGCCTGGAAGGCAAGACTGACACCTTATTTATTCAATAAGCCCATTTTGTTTGTGTGTGGTGGTTTATTTTGGTTGGGGTTTTTGGTTGTTTTCTTTTGTTTGGTTTTGGTTTGCGTGTTTTGTTTTGTTTTTTAAGGAAGCTACCCCCACTCTCCAAAAGTGTAATTAAGACCCCCTTTTATTGATAAATACACAGAACTCTCTATTTTTCTCTTTGTTTGTTTTGGTCTTATTTTTAAGATCATGAAGAACTCTGTGGCACCAGTTATGGATCTTTTTGTCTAAATGGAGGGATTTGTTATATGATTCCTACTGTATCCAGTCCATTCTGCAGGTCAGTGAAACTAAAGTTTGTGTGCTTAAGTATTGGACAGCAGCTGTCTAAAGACTATTTCTCCATTTTGCTGCTTTAAGAAATTATTGCTAAAACATTATACAAAAGAAAATACCTATTACCTATGGCTGTTCCAAATTCAGTAATTTGTGCTCAGATTACTTATCTAGCTTGCAGAGACATGACAATATGAGAAAAATAAACGTGTATATACTTATACAATGGTACCCAGTTACATATGCATTCAGGATGATATCTATATTTAGAGCTATATTTCTTCCCCTCATTACAATACAGAAAGGAACAAAATACCCTTTTGCCTCATGGAGTATAGACTGTAGGAAAGGCATTCAGAAAGGCAAAGTACATTCCCAGTTTTTCTTCCAGATGAATCATATTGCAAAATTTCTTAGAACATAAAATGGCTTGACCTGAACAAAATGAGGCGATGCAAAAAGGAATATAATCTTTTAAGGGGAAAAAAGATCATAATTCAAGACTTACTCTGTTCTCTGAATCTCACAAATACTCACAGGGCTGTTTTACAGTGACAGCCAAAGAGCGCTTGATAAAGAAACATCAGGGCAGCAAACACAGATACTTCTTACACCATTTGTTTAGGGGACCATTCTTCTTTCTGAAGCCCCTGTAGCACACTGGAAAAGAAGCACTTCCTGGTTTTGCAGGTGGATACATTTCCTGCATTCCATAAATACAGCCCTATCCTTTCATTTTCTCATTTACCAAGGCATAAGAAGATGATGAATGAAATTCTAGTTTTTCATGGTTCTGCATTTACTAATTCTGAGTTATTGTTCATCAAAATAAATTACACTTAATTTAATGGGTTTATTTAACATAATAATAGGCATTCAGACACCTGTTACATATGCTTAAGGGTATTACCTTTTTTTCTTCTGTGGCAACTTCTGCTCCCACTTCAAGCTTGAGCTATAACTAATGAACAGTTGAAGAAGGAAATGAAATCTTTTCTAAGATGCCAAATTAAAGTATTTCTTTTGTTTGGGACAGTTCAATTTAAGCATTTAAACTCAAGCATGTAGATTCAAGCATCTAGTAGGTGAGAAGAGGAAATTTTGTGGTAAATGCTCACTGAAAAATATACACAGAGTATCACTGTCATTAAGTGTATTGTCCAATGTCATACAGTGACTCAGATCCACAAGTGAGGATAAAGCTCAGAAGTGCCGTATGATGATGATTTATTCTAACTGCTAAACCTTGCAAGCGTATGCGATGTAGAATGAATATGATGCACACAAAAAGTAAAACATGTTGAAATACACATTTTTTTTCCTAGAAGGAAACCTATATTATTCATAGTAAAATACTTAAAGGAAAAAAGAATGGTTAGACTAAACAGCATCAGTTACAGAATTTCCAGGCACCCTGTCAACTACTGTTTAACGGAGTAATAAGGAAGGTGTATTTGATGCAATAACTGTAGATATGATGTAAGAAATTCTCAGAGCAATTCATTCTTCAGGAGCAGAAGCTAGTCGGCATAGATAATTTCCAACTTATAAGGGCTCCAAATGAAGTCACTTGTAATGCAGGTACTAGACGATTTTATAATCTGCTGAAGCAAAAAAGTAACATTTTAAGAGCATTTCTGTTAAACTCAGGCAATCTTATTGCATTTAAATTATCAAGTATTTTTCTTCTGTATCTATCTAGTGGTTGATTACCAAGTTATATATATGGGTTTAAATAGAAGCATTCTATTTAAGCATGTCCTCATTCTAAGCATGTTCCTTAATCAGTCAGAGGAGGCTAATTATAGATGAGAAAGGTTTTGTTTACACACAGATATCTTAGTAATCAGCAGTGATGTGAATAGAAACAACAGAAAAAATGCATCACTATTCAGCAGAATTCAGAAAAATATTTGGTGCTTTGGAACTTCAAGACTGGCATCATCACACAGTTGCGCAAAGTTCCTTTGATGCAGGTTTCCACCAAATCCCACCTAAAGCTTCCAAGCACTCTCAAATCATCATCTCCCACCAACAGAAAAACTGATCAGTTTTAGAATCAAGGCTGAGTGATCGTTAGTACAGCATTGATTAAAAGGGGGAAAGGAAGCAAGAACAGACCTACCAGCTGTAAAAATACTTTAAAACACATTTGCTTTGAAATGATACTTATTTACACAAATGTGTTGTGCTAAACATAGTTAGTCCAGATTACCTGATGCAACATCACTGGAAGTAATTTCACAATGTCGCTAGGAAAATTGCATCATTCTTTAGAACTACATATTTTGTAGCACGCTAACAAAGACCCACCGTTTACTTTTGGAATTTCAGTTATTTTTACCATTCAGAGAAATGGATATATACACAAGGTAGATTTAACAGAAACAAAACATTAACTGATCCCCCTCCCCTGTGCAATTAGCAGATTTTAAATACAGCTGATGTGTGTTAAAACATGAAGTTGCTCAGCTGCCACCTTCCCTCATTCCTTTCCTAACAATGAACTAATGTTCTCAGCAGCGAAAGGCACACCTGTCACCACAAACAAGAGGAGCTTCAAGCCCAGGAATGCTCAAATGTACTAAATAACCATGCAGCAGAATGGAGAAGGATGGAAAAGCAGCTGCCTCAGGTGTATCACAAAGCATGAGGCTGAAAGCTGTTTGCCTCAGCACCTGGTGTGCAGCTGTCCCATAATCATTAATTAATGCAGCGCAGAGTTAAGATTTTGTTGTCTGAGGGGAAGCTCTGGCATTTCCATTTTGTCTTACACATGGCAGATTTCTGAGAGCCTTCTTTCTGTGGTTCAGGCAAAATACGGATGGTGTAAGATCACACAAACACAGCTCCTCTGCTTCTGAGGGCAGTACACACAGAAATGAATAGTGAATGCTCTCCTTTTGAGGAAGGGATCATATTCTGCAAAGGGCAGTGTGTTCAGGCTAAGTACGCAAGGGACAGAGACAGACCTTAGAAATCTCCTCCCTCAAATTCTTCTGCATGGTTAAAGGATATCTCCACTTTCCCCTTCCTTTGCTTCTGCCCTAATCCAATCCCTCCCCCACCTTTCCTATATTAATCCAATAAATCCCTGCAAATTCCTTTTATCGCTTTCTATATACCACATCCTTGTCTGGCTCTTTCTCCGAGATGAGTCCTTCATTCTCTTTTTCAAATGGCCCCACAAGCAATATAGTTGCTGTGCCATAAGCCTTCAGAATATACACGCTGCAAGTTGCCAGTGAAGGGCTTCCCACTCCTCTGGGCTTTTCTTCTTTCTCTGCCTCCAAAACTATACTTTTGCATACCCCAGGCTCTTCTGAAAACACAGTGTCCAATTCATATTTTTCAATTCTGCTTCTAGCTTGAAAAGTAGGAATAAAAGTTAGAATACCCACCAAAAGTATAGCTAAAAAAAGTCAATAATTAAGATTTATTTTTAATAAATGGGACATAAAATAGAAAATGCAATATTATTTTACATGTTTGAAAAGTATTAGTGATCAGAATTCATATAATTGCCAGATATGTTAAAACTTGCCGTATAAACATGCAGCTAAGGGAGTTCTAGGGGAAAATAACCCATTCTTTCAACTTCTCTCCACTAGTAGTAGTATGAGTTTTATTTTACTCTCTATGTATATGAAAACATCTTTAGAGTAAGTTCTGAAACTCCTCTGAACACAAAACTTTTTTTAAAAACTGCTTAGGGCTTCCAATTAACTTTGCCATTGCTTATTCACTTTGGCTTTAAATTCTTTTTCATACTTACCAGATGCCCTTATAGTGTATAGATTAGGATAACTTTTAGGAACCTGCTACAGACTAAAGATTACAGTGATTTTGAAGCTATCAGCCATGTCATCTGAATTGCATTGATAAGCAGATAATTTTTCAGCTGTCTTTTTCTGCTTAGACCTTTGTATTTACATGCAAGTAATGTTTATACCAAGAAGCATCCCGGGTTTTCCTGACTAAAGGAAGACTAAGGTCTTACAGTATATTACAAAGCAATGGGTGTCTGTGTGCATATTTGGCTCAAATCCTACTTCCATTTCTAAAGTCTGTCAGATACTGGGTGCTTATGGCACCCACCTTAGAGTCTGGAAGAGAAAGAAACCTTACCTTCTTACCTAAACCAGACAGGCAGTACATCACCTGCACCGTCTCATAAACTGCCTTTGCAGATGAGACAGCAGTACTGATTTGTGTTATCGGAGGGCTGCTATGCTTGCATTATAGTTACTGATCAGATTGTAAAGAATGAATATAATTCCAGACCCACTGGTCATCTCCTGACATCTTATCCAATGCAGTCTTATTTCCTTCCACCTTGTATTGATGCTGATAAGGGTGGTTTTGATTAATATCCTATGTTGAAAGATTCTGTGGTTTTCTTTACATATATTTTGTTAGTGTTTCGTCTCCAGCACAGCTCCTATAGTAAGTTTGTATACAACAGTTAAGGCTGGCTCATTTTCTCTGACAAGACGTGTGGGGGTGTGTGAGTGTGTGCAGGCATCTAGGAATGCAGAAATCTGGATGTTACCTGAAAATGGGAGTTTCTAGTCTCACAGCTTTTCTTAAACATGTGAAGGCTGTTGTCTTTCAACTCTGATGGAATTGGAACTTCTAATTTCTTAGAGGAGGAGAGACCTTTTTTCCAGTTTATAAAACAACTTTGGAGTGCTACATAGTAGGACCATTTAAAGCCAACAGACAAGCTAACAGCATGCCGATGATGTGCAACAGCAACACCTGGTCTAGTGACCACAAGGCTTAATTCGCTTAACTCCCCCTTACTATAACCTGGAAGCAGGCGTCTCTGTCTTTTTCAGTCGTTCATTCAAGTGCAGAAGCACAGTGCCTGCCATATTAACAACTCAAGTGTGTCATGCTTAACTTGTGCTCTACTTTTAGGCATCCGTTACAAGATAAACTATGAGTTGCTGCTGACTTCTAAGGCTGCACATAGTAAGACCAACTACCTCTAGGAGACACTATATAGATGCCATCGGTCTGGATTACGTTCATAGCCCACACGCTTTAGTTAGAGACTACTTTTCTGTCTTGCTTGCAGTCACTGTGTATGTAACTCCACTGAGATTACTAGAGCCTGCTAAATGCAACAGGATAAGCAGATGATCTGAGCGAGTTCCACTACTAATTACTGAGGTCTGCTTAGTTTCTTTCCCATCAGTTCTAGGAAAGGACTTAAAAGTAGAAACCTTTCCCTCTCTTGGCTGTCTTAAAGCATCAGTTGCTTCTATCTTTAACGTAGTCCTTCACCTGTTTGTACATCAGCACTAATGATTTCATAAAAGCTTGTGCAAGCCAATATTTTAACATTTGGATTTTCAGAAATGCCCTAACTGTAGCAGAACCTGTTGGTAGGGTCACATTAGGTACAGTTTTGTTTATTTAAATGTAACCAAAAGATACCTCGTCTCAGTTTTCCTGCTCCTATGAAAACCTCCATCATTTTTAGGTTATACAACAGTATTTTCTACATCACAACAGTTCTCTAACCCTAGCCTTTTACCTAATCCTACATGCAACTCTCTTCAGCTAGGACTGTCTTTTTTTCCTCCTGCTTCATTTTTTCTCCTTAGGCTACTGACTTACTCCCCTTATGCTCATTCTCTAGAACTTTTCCATGAGCCTTAGTTTGATGCCAAAACCTATTTATTTTTTCTTCCTGTATCATTTTAGCCTTGCATTATTCTCCAGTTTTCATTGGTATTCAAGAATACTTTTATGAATTTTATATTCCATTTTCTATCCCTGTTATTCTATTCAGCTCTCCAAAGCATTTCTCTCTCACTTGCTAGAGAACAATGCCCTACTCAAACTACACTTCTATTCTTAAAGTATTCTACAGTATTACAGAAATAGGCCACTGAAATGCCACTATACTTACAGTAAATATCTGGAACATTATCTCAAGCAATCAGAGCAGTCTGTCTACCCTTCCTTCTCCCAGCAGTCAAACATAGTACCTTACATCTCACATTGTCCTTAGTAAATGGTGGCTGTTTGATCAGTTGCACAGCTTTAATATATGATGATAATTGAATCTTTTTTCTAGTGTCTGAATCTTCCGTTTTATTTCCAAAGGCAAAGGATTAAAAGAAACAGTAGTAATTCTTTGTGCAATAGCTTAGACCAGAAGTACTGAAATAGTGGTCCACAATTGAGAGAGCGCGGTGCTGGGAGCCACATCAAAAATGCATGGTGGTATGCTCACAGTGATCCATTTTTCTTATTCAGATATGCTAGACATCTTTCTTTTTTTGGCAGTTCCTCCCCCATTCCACCTTCTTATCCCTGATCTGAAGTTATACCTTGCAGCTGCCAATGGCAGCTGAGAACTTTAAGTATGTTACAGAGTTCAGCCCATTTTTCTCAGCTGGAGCCTGAAATTGCTTATGTCACAGATTATTATGACTTCAGTGCCAGAAATAGCAAGAAGGAGGAAGATCTTTAGTAATACAAATAGAGAGAAGCAAGTTTACATATATAAAAGATAATGCAGAATGCAGTTATTGAATGAAGTGCTTTCCATTTTCTGTAATGCAATACACTCCTTAAGAAAACTTAGCAGAATAAATGCAAAATATACAACAAACAAAGATTAGTTTAGCTTCAACCTATCTAGTTTTGACTCAGTATGAATTTTATTTATTTTTAAGAAAATATCATAGCATTTTACCATGGTAAAATACCATATTCATGTTAAACCTTTCTTCAGAATAAGTTTTCAGAAGCTTGATACATAAAATAAGCATAGTAGAGAAAACTTTTAGTTAGGTCTCTCCAAGAGAGGGTCAATCACCAAGCATATAACATGTTCTGGCATGAATTTTTACACTGCGTAAACTACTTTTGCAATTTAAGGTGTACTGCGTCTCAATGAATTTCCACTTCCTTGATCTATCTAGCTGACAGTACTAGCTCTTCAACAAAGAAAGCTAGAAAGTGACATGAAAGGGGGAAAAGAAAGCATGACTACTGCATGAGAACCAGTGGGATGACACAGTTAACTAACACTAAAGAGGTGGAGGAGGCAGATATAACTGCGAGGTACACCATTGTGAAGTATCTCGCTAATCCAATGAATATATTAACAAAGATATGGTTTAATATATAAAAGCAGTATGGATGAGAATATAAACGCGATGTCCAATTCCCATTGTTCCATAAATACGAGGTGAGTGGAAATTCCATAAGAAAACTTGCTGTGAAGCAAATCTAAACCTTGAATTATGCCATAACAAGTTCTCTCCTCACTTAAGACCAAAAGAAGCCTTTGCACTTTTCATATTAGACAAGAAATTACCATCTAATCCAAATAAAACTTGGTTTCCCAGGTGTATTGAGAATTACACGGGAGCCCGTTGCGAGGAAGTTTTGCTGCCTAGCATCAAGTCCCAAACAAAAGGTGACCTGTTTGCAGCCTTCTTGGCTTCACTTCTTCTTCTAGGAGTGCTTATAATTGGAGCATTCTACTTCCTTTGCAGGTAAAAGTGCTTCAGAGTGCTGAAGCTATTTAATCAAGTAGAAATTTCTTCTGGTAATCATGTACTAATTATTTGAATGTAAAAGTATGTAATGAATTATCCATAAGGTTTGTATGGTTATTCAGCATAATTAATGTGGATGTCTCAACTTGTTGCTTGTAATATTTTACTTCCTGGCATGTAGTTTTCTCAATGTCTTTTCTAAGCTATTACTTACAGTTGCTTTGTAAAAAATACATGTAGTACACCTATTTCTGAGAGATTTTACAGTCTACCTAGAGCTAGTGCTAACATTTTAAAACGTTAGTCAACCCTTCTGTTATCCAAAGACTGAGAAATAGAAGCAAATTACCAAAGTGCTTAAGGGATCAGAAACTGTTCCACTGCATTTAGTTGGCAGCCAAACCAACTCATGCCATTAGCTCCCAATTCCTTTACAGCTCCTGGTTTAAAAAGGAAAACTAAGAAAATAATAAAATTCAAGAATAATCCCAGGTAGATGTTTATTAACTAACTAACATCGAGAACAAATCAGAGGGCTAACTCATTTATCCAGGATGACCCATGTCCAAGTAGCATCAAAATGTCAGTGCCAGACAGCAAGTGCTACAGGTTCAGTTTTAGTAGCATTTCAGGCACATTGGGACTTTGAATGAAAACAAATAAGCAGTTACTGGGATTAAGTCAACTATTTGATGCTGTACATGTATCAGTACAGTGTATCAGTACACTTATACCAAACCCAAACAAGCTTATTGTCTTCACTTGCTGTCTGCATTTATGTATGCAAGTCAACCTCCTATGTCCCCTCTTGTTTTTACAGTACAGCACTTTCTGTAAGAGCTCATTTTGCTCATATACTGTTAATATGTGTTTATGCCTTCATGAGGCAACTTACTAGCCCCTGCAATTCTTAGCCATCACAGACGTGCAGCCTCTTCCTGTTACTCCTATGCTGCATTTCTCCTTGGTTATGACAACCTGGGGTTCTTGCAATTCTGTTCTTTGCTCTTCCATAATCACATTGCCAAATCAACCTCTCTGATCAGTGCCTTTCAATGAGCGACCTTTGGAACAGCTGGTCTAGTTTTACCTCAGCTGCTGTCATGGAAACCCATTCAATGCCAGTTTTTCCCATAGCTGAATATATTTAGAAGAGATAGAGAGCATTTGATAAAACAGAGTTTGTATTAAAAAACCCCTTGTTGTAGAGGATACCCCCCACTTTAGTAATTTTAGTTAAATGAATCCTGTCTTAGCAGTGGGAGGCCACAGCAGTTGTTCACTAAAGAACATTTGCAGATTACTGTAAAGTTATTAGAACAGAATACAGCTGTAACTAACTGAAGAAAAATTCATTCAAGTCTCACAGAGGTACAGAGAGTATTTTAGAAGTAAAGCTTGTCTCCAAGAAGAGAAAAAAAGTCTGCAAAGAGCAGAGAATTCAGAGAGTAATCTGTTAAAAGATACCTTTTCTCTTGCACACATTAAAATTAGGGGAAGGCTGGAGACACAGTGTAGAGTTTATATTATAGTCAGAGCCTTGCATTGCAAAGTACAGAAGCATAGAATAGCAGCAATGACAGGTCTGTGCTAGTCTTTTATTAGACAGTTGGAAGATTAACCTCAACTACTCTATTTCTTTATAGGAAATCAATTTACTCAAGCTTTACTTAACTGGCAGAACAAGTAGCAGGGCCTCTTTATTAGAAAAATAACAAGGGCAGCAACTCAGTCTTAATATAATTGTCCTTGAACCTGTCTTCCATACCAGACTAGCTTGGGAAATCTCATAAAATCATGACCAGCTTAGTAAAAAGAACATAACTGGCTAAAAATTGTCTTGTCTTACCTTTACACTTCAGAGGCTGATATAGCACAATCATCTGCTGCTGGAGAACTCATGTATAAAAGAAACACTTTACCTCTAAAAGACCTTATCTTTTGATTGAAATGACCAACATATAAGAGGAGTCCTAAGTGGATACTTTAATCTACTCCCCTATTTTCAGCTGTATAAACAAGGATTATTGCTAGCAGCTGTCATTAATATTACTATAATTTTTTTTTTCCCAGATTTGATCTATCACCTGTATCATAACATTCTTAAAGAGGGTGGAACTGGGGCTTGTAAGGGTTAGCTGAGAGTTTGTGTCAGCCTTGACTTGTCCTCTTGACAGGATATATTAAATTTAAAATGTTAAGAGAAATATTGTGCTATCAAGTTTCCACTATTACACTTTATTAACAAACATGTTTGATCCAAAATCAGAAAGCAGAGTAGTTTTTTCCCTATATTGTGTGTTAGTAAGCATTTCTGTGCTCTTTCAGCAGAGGATTCTAGCATGGTTTTAGTATACACAGTAATGCAACATGCGGGGATGCAGAAGATGAGATATTAATTGCAATTTAGGATACAAAAACCGAATCCCTAAAATTATACATCAAATCTTTTAGAATTTAGGAAATCGGTGCTCGATTTTCTTGTCCCTGTCATTACTTGTATGCCCCTTCCTTTCCAAGTTCCTCTCAGGCTGCTTGGGGCAGATTTCAGGACAACGTACGTGTGAGTGTATGTAATGTTCCCTACAAACAAATCTATTCAGCATACAAGGGTGGACACAGAGGATTTCATTGCTCTGCTTATAAAACCAAATCATCAGTAAGGTGATGGTAACCCATAAAAGAAAAGGGCTGCATAGGAAAAGCTCTGGGTGAACAGTGGGAAATAATTCTTCTATATTTAGCTGAGTCATCACATTTTTATCAGCCGAGGATTTATTTTTTCCACTCTGCCAACAATCTGCTGTTAAGCTGATTTCATGCTGCATTTGATTATGTACTAGGATTCATCAAGATGGTATGGTTTGGGAAAGCAAACCTACAAAGAGAAGGAGGAGAGGGAATCAAAGATAACGAAGACAGTATTTGAAATGGCTAGAGGGTGAGAATAATGGGAAGTAGAACACAGTTAAGATAGACAAAAGGAACAGCAGAGAATGGAGGGAGGGAAGAGGGAGAAGTGGTCAAGGACTGCTGATGAAAAAAAAAGCAGCTTAGAACTAGAAAAGATAGACAGTAGTGTAAGGTTAAACCTCCCACTGCTGCTGGAACCCCCTGAAGGAAAGGCTACTGTAGAGCTATCTTACTGAGTCTCAGGTTGATAGAATTATGTAGGTAGTAAAGTGAGTCACTTTAGTTTACTTTCTGAAAAAATCATGAGGAATATTTTTGTAAAGAAAAGAGTATGCTTTATGTCTCCTCAGAGATGAGTCTTGTAGAAAAATTTTATATCATGCTGTAGGAATTAATACGAACAGTACTGTCCACACCCAAAATTCATGTGAAAACCAGTTCAGTACATTAGCTTCCCATGTTATTTTATCAAGTCTTCTCCAGAAATGTGCTGTTTCATAGGCAATAAACATTGCTTCTCTGTCTAAGGGGGAATCCCAATCTTTAAAGAGTATGCTCAGTTCCGTTTGCTATATTCCTGTAAAATCTCAGCATGTAAAACTATTGCTGTTTCTAGCTACTGGGAGTCACTAGAAAGGAAGGCATCATGCCAACAACTGCATTTTAGCAAAGATAGTAAAATATCTACATTGTGAATGTAAAACTTATCCGTGTATATGCATATATTAAATCAGAACTGGTTTTATGAGAGCAACTTGCTATTTAACAATGAAAAAATGTCTTGGATTGTAGTAGGCTTCTGTGTGGCTTTAGGCCCAGGAGCTGTACAACCTGTTAGAGGATATAGAGGTAGAGCAAACCCAGATCTCGCTGCTCTTGATCTTGAAACACACACCTCTGCTGCCAACAAACAGTACTGATAAAGCCTATTGTTCTGACCTGGGGAAAACAGGGAAATATGCAAAAATCCTTGATATTACATTGTTACTGAGGTAACAAATGGCATATATTGCTACAAGCAATTCACCTGTCAGTACAGGTCCATTTGGCCTTCTTTCTCTTGTAACATACCGTATGAAGGTTACTGGAAGAAGAATAAGAAAGGTAGCCAATTAGTACAGATTCCACATAAGCCAGTTTTTATTTTAAAAAAATATAGAGGCCTGAATGCCACACACACAGCTTAGAGGAACAGAGAAAACCCTACGGAAAACTAAATCTGCAATTCCTTTCTATACTTTATTGTAAGTCCATGTTGAAATGACAAATTACCTGTAAGATAAGTGTATATTGATGAATGGGAACTCAGCCAGCTAAAACAACAGGGTCTAGGAATAAAGCCCAAGACAACAGACTTTGTGGAGGAGTTACATCACCACAGGATGCAAACTGGACAGAAAGGAGAATAGCTCATGACTTCTCAAGAGAGCAGATGTCCAATTACTG